TATTTAAACTGCAGTGTCTCTGTATGCTGGTTTGTGTGTTCTCCAACACAATTCTCACAACGCTTCTCTGAATGCACTCGCTCTCCCAACGGGGAACTTACCTAACAAAACAGATCTTTTGCTGTATGTTTATGTTGACAGTTGCAATGATGATCTTCGTAATACAGATAGTTTCAGTTTAATAATAGTAAGTCGGACTGGCAACTGTTGACTAAATGATGCAGTTGTAGAGCACGATGCCACATGATTTATGATGGCAGTTGTGGCACTTCCAGTTGCCCTTGTTAGATGAAGCTTAACGGTGAAGGTCAGAGTGTCCCATGGTCATGCGACTGTTTTTTGAAAGCTCCTGCCAACTTTCTCATTGACTCTGCTTATAAGAAGCTGCCAATGAAGATTTCAAATGGTGATCATGTAACTGTGCAACAGTCCAATCATAATTACAATCATATGACCATGAGGATGCTATGATGGCCGCAACTACAAGTTATCTGTGTTTGGTCATAACTTTGAATGATCACCAAATGAGTTCTTGTTCAAATACTTTAAAGTAGATCATTGAAGAGTGTTGAGCCTGTGTTATGTGCCAATTAGAAGAAATCACATAAATAAAGATAGGAGACATGAGCACATTGGCTGGTCTTGAATGCTGAATTCATTTTATCAACAGAGAGGGGGAATGAGATGCTACTATGCTCTATGGAATGTCTACTTATCAGGATTAAATTCTATAGAACATTTGGTTTAGCTGTACGTTACGTCAATTCAAACATTGGGAGAAAATTTTGCAAAAAAAAAGTGTAACCTTTAAAATTATGAGGAATAGTTATATAATATTTGTCTTTAATAAGTGACTAATTTTACTTTAAAACAGCTAATATAATCAAACTTCAATATACAGTACGTTATATATAAATTTTAGTTTGGTGCTTGATATGAATTAGTATTACAATTTTGAACACAGGTCACTATTAAGTTGGGCGATGAGAGAGTAAATCTGGTTCTGTATCGCTGAATATTAATATAATTTAATGTTATAGTTTCATTCTGAAGAATAAAATGATTTCTGAAACTGAGGTAGCATAGAAGTATTTTCATAGAGTTTATACTGGTACTTATATATTCAAATTTACTGTTTACAGTAAAACTTTTTTTCTAGTTCTTGAACAATAGATTTTAGGGAATCAAATATCATTGTAGTTGTGCCATTTGTATTCCTGCTGTTTGCCTGCTGAAAGTTTAGAAAATCGAATACCCCTTTCCTCCAATGAATCTGTTAAAATGAAATTTGACAAGACATTTATTAAACTTATATGCCATCCATCTTGGCAACTCTAGGTGGCTTACAATAATTAAAAAAATGAATAAAAACATTAAAACAGTAAAGCAGTAAATAGTAACACTAAATTTGTTTAAAATTTACAAAGATAGTTCCCATTAGAAAAGGAAGAGTTTTTTCCCCCAATATTGTCCAGGGGAATGTTTGCTATCCAAAATTGACTTCTATTGGGAGGGAATACAGTGCTGGCATGAAATTAAAAAATATATATATCTTGTCTATTTCCTCTATTATGCAATTCTGCTGTTATGCAATTCTGCTATTATGCAAGGAACAGGGATCAAGTGGAACACAGTATTATGCTGATGTTCATTTGAAGATTATATAGAGGATTAAATAAAGATTCCCATAAGTCAGAATTCTGTGCGGGGAGAGAGAGAGAGAGAGGAATTGAACTGACCAAGACTGAAAATGCAAATAAGTTCCCAGAAACACTGCAGGAAAAAGATTATTTCAGTCTTTTATGTAAAGCAAGTACAGAAATAAGATGCTGTGCTTGAAGAGATTAGGTGAAAAGCATGATTGCATTTTAGACTAAGTCTGAAAGCCCAAGAAAGCCAAGTAAATCTGAAGGTTCTGGATATGAGGCAGCCAGGTCATGAAAGTTGTTTCTAGTGAACTGATCCATTTTACTTTATATGCCTTTAAGGTCTAGGCTGCCAGGTATTTATTAGCTCTTCTCCATAGTGGCAACTTATGAAGAATTTGCTCAAGGACTATGTTTATATACTCTAGCACTCCAGCAGTACTAAGCTCATTTCCATATACTAATAAGAAAGAGTCTTAAGCAGGAGTGTCAAACTCGGGTTGTCCCAGTAGTGTGATGTGACGTATCAGGACTTCACCCCCCTTTGCTAAACCAGGTGTGGGCGTGGCCAGTGCGTAACGCATCCAGC